AAATAATCTACCAGTGACCTAAAAGATAAACCAATATGTGAGAGGAAAGGCATAGTTATTATTAAGGTACCAGACTGGAAAGGAGAACTCTCAGGTAGGAGCATGACCTTGAATAAGCAGCAGTGACTCAGTCTACTCACCTACGAAATAGAGAGAATATAGTCCAAGCTCCTAAAAACACTATAAAAGTATTAAGATTTTCCAACAGTGATTCAAGATGTGTTAAAAGCCATTGACTGAAGTACATCTCAGAGCGTGCAGACACTGCATTTTTTCCACACACAAGCGTGCTACCCATGATGCACAGCTTGCCCACACTCTTTTGAAAGCTCAGCCTTCAGCATCTGTCCAGAATAAGCTTATTAAGCCATCAGCAAAGGCTTTAAGAATGTAAGATAGAGCTGACTAGCTTTCTTCAAATGCGTGTTTCTGCCATTACCTGCCTGGGCCAGAAGCATCTGGCCAGACATAATCCGCACATCAGAAATTCATCTGCAGGCATTTACCTCCAAGTTTCCTTACACCAGAGGAGACCCAATGAGGTACAGCCAAACAAACACTAAAAGATCTTGTAAACACAGCTAACAAATTCTTATAGAGACAAAAAATGAGGCAGTTTTAAGTACATATTTGGAAGTCTCCTTTCTCCATTGTCCTGAAGATTTTTGATCCACTGGCTCTAGAGAGCAAAAAACCACAAAAAACCTCCTAGCTGTCATGGATGTAAAAAAAATCCTCCCAAATAAGAAGGAAGTGCTGACCAATGCAGTGACCTGAGCCTGCACAACCCCTAAAACCATAAATGCAGGAGGGACACCCCTCCTTCCTCCTCCAATAACAATACAGTCTGCTGCATAAAACGTTTTGCCATTCAGTAAGAAGTGGACCCAGGATTCTGGATCAACCTTTTAGAGCAACAGAGGAGCAGCAACAGCAGAATCTGGTCCACCACTTCTCTCACAGGGAATTAGGTTTTTTTTAGACTGTGGAACAAGGTCGAAGGTACCAGGACAATTTTAGCGCTCTGCAGCGGCCCCTGTTGTCCGCCCAGCAGAGGATCCCTCAGCCTAGGGCACAGGTACCACAGAGTGCTGGAGCAGTGGTGGAAGAGCAATGCTGCCACCTGCGGACACTCAGAATTACAGCCTCCACCTAGACAGGCACGGGACAAAAAGGTGTTCAACGTTGATGAATTTCAAAACTCTCAACATTTTCTATTAGAGGTCCAGTTTCTTTAAAATTAGTTTAAGCCGACTACTAATAGACTCTGCCTGCTACCAGGACAAAGCATTAGAGTGTGATTTAAGAGCAAGTGCAGAACAATTACAGTATCAACAAAACACCCAGCATGCTGTCTTGCTAAAGGATACTCAGCAGACTGGTTTCTGCAGATTCAGAACTGCCCACATGTATCTGGATGCCATGCTATTCTGCATTTTATCCTCTAAAATTATCTCCAAATGCTATGACCTTGGGACCCAGTCTGCACCTCAGAAAGGCTGAAAAATATTTCCCCCAGGCCTAGCTGTCTTAGAATCACAGAAATTCCTGCAAACCCAAACAGGAAATCACTTCAAAGCAGACAATCGTAGTAAGGTAGTGTTGCAGGTAAAAGCATTAGCTCCACAATGGTTTATGGTTACTAAACTTTACTGCAGAAACTTCTTTCGTTGTCTCCTACTCAGATGGATTTTAATCTAGAAGCAAAAATTGAAATCATGTTTCAATCATCAAGTCTTCTTTGTATCTGTTTTCACCTATGTGCATCACCAACAATAGAGGTGGCAGAGCCAAGAAGTTTCTCGAGACTGTTGAAACCACTTTAACCACATATGAAAAAAAGAAAGCCAGAAAACATGTAAGACAAATAAGACTTCTTAGTCTCCTCAAGCTAATTGTACATGCATTTGTATAGAAGATTGCGCCAGTGGCCAAGACAGAAAAATTTCAAACCATGCTTTAGGCTTATTAATGACACACACAGGGGAGGCATTATGCTGTCACAGTCCCATGGAGCAAATAAAATCATTACAAGCCAGGAGCAGAGACCATGGCACTGGAAGAATGGCAGACCACACAGGTGAGGAAGAAAACGTCCATCTTTATTAAAAAGATTAAAAGTTCAGCTGAAACTTCCTTACAAATGCTGAACAGTACATGACACAGAAAATGGCATCAAAGAAAATTCTGCTCATTAATGAAAATACCGAAACTACTCTGAAGTCTGCCATTAGTATGAGATGATCACTGCTACTGAACTTTTTACCCGATGATATGGAAGGACAGGACTATGTGATTCATAAAAGGACTCTTACACAAAAAAAAAAGTATGATGTTTTATGCACTTATACTATAAACGTGGCAGACAAAGACCCTCCTCCTTCCAGGAAGATGCTCTAATATATGTGCAAAAATACAACTGGAGTGATATAAAATAATCAAACACAGCATAATTAACAGAATAACATTCAGACACTTTATTGGATAAGAAGAAAGGCCAGAAGGTGCTTTAGGACATATCAACAGATGGGCTACAGATCTGTTCATCTACCAGTGTAGACTCATCACATTGCAACACAGCTCATCAAGAGAGACCTGAAAGAAGTTTAAAAAGTTTATATTCAGGGAAAGTAGCATCAGACAGCAAGGAAAGGGGTAGGGCAAGAGATTCAGCATCCTCATCACAAAACAAACCAATAAAGGAACCTCTCTTACCACTCAATGTCTATGTGGAGATTATTTTGGTCTACTTACATTGGTTAAGTCACCCGTTAGGTTAGTTCATACCCAAAATGTTTTCTAGTACTAACATGCTTTTGGAAAACACAGAGATAAAGCACTTTTTACTTTCAAAGTTCTCTATGACAATGATGTCAGCTCAGCATCCCTGTGAGGTAGGCAAAAATTAGCTGTTTTCTGAGACACAGAGAAATTAAATTACTTCCTCAAAGCCACGGTGAAGAATGTGTTATTTACTATTAATATCCTTAAGAACCTGGAATGATATTGTTTTTCATAGACAGGGAACTGGAGGCAACCAGCATCTGCTAGTAAGGAATTAGCAAATTTTCATCTCATTCTTACTATTAAAATGCTTTGAATCCCCCCCACCTTGAAAAGTGTTCCACAAACACATACATGTACTAGTGAGCTCCTCCTTCATCTCTGTAACAAAAAGCACTGGTCCTTTCCAGCAGTAAGCAGACATCCTACACACGGGGCTTTTCCCTGCTAGTAAAGGGTAACCTAGATACAGCTAGAGTTACATATACTACTCCACCAATGATCATATCCTAGATCTTTCCAGTGTTACCATTACAGTTATCAAAGATGAGCCAAGTATTAGTTACTTTAAGGAATTTAGCTTGAGTACTCTAGTTTATGTAAAAGGAGTAGAAAAAGATAACTATCCATTCTTTTAAACTGATCTACAGGAACAAGCTATCATAAAATAAAGCACGCAGCTGCTACAAAGGGTAGCAACAAAGCCATGTTGGGATTAACCTAATAAACCCACATATCCCCAATTGCAAGGTTAACAGATTCACCAGCTCGGTCCATATCCCTAGAAGAGCTTTTGCTTTGCAGAAAAGTGAAGTGGGTCTTGGAGCCAGGCTCTTCTTTATTCTGTAGGTCCGCAAAGAAGTAACAGTAGATGCCGTGTTGTGTGTCTGTATTGAAAACAGTTTCCAAAACCTTCTGGATATCTCCCTCCATCCAGCTGAGCTGAACTTTTGCATTTTCTCCTCACGTTTCTAATCTAAACAAGTATTTTGCTGTAGAAAGCAGCACGCAGTTGCTGAAGTCCATTTCCTCATCTTATGCCTATTCAGATTAGAGAGATCATTTGCCCAATTTTAATAAAAGATGAAACTGTGGCTCATAAAATACACCTGCAAAGAATCCTTCCCGTTGACTACAGCGCAGCTGTAAAGCAGGAGACCAACAGCTGGGTAACACTGCATAACATGAAGCCATAAAAACAGTCACCTAACTATCTATACCATGTCATCTTGTACCATCAACTCAGCTTTACTACTGTCAGTACACTCCGCTAATATAACACTCAGCACTTTAAGATGAACACCACAAGGGCATAACTTACTTACGACAGATGCAGGCTAACACCATGATAGTTTATTGCTCATGTTTAAAAGCCCTTCACATAGTGGCTAGCACGCTCCCACTTGGTTCAAAAGCAAGGTTGTGCTCCAGGCACCAGCAGCTCTAGTTCAACACCTGTACCAATTCCTCTGAAGTTTTCCACAACTCCTGTAAACAAACTTTTCACCAAAACCCTGCATACAGGAAACGAATACTTTTTCTTCAATACTGGAGAGAATTCAGTTGCCACTGAGTAACATGGTATGGATCAAATTCATCTTTGCACCAGAAGTCATACTTTTTCCCAGTTGTGTTTGGCATGTTTTTCACACTGCTACATAATTGCTGAAACAGTCAGTTCTCCAAAGGGCCACATGAATATCAAGTGGCAAGATCTGTAGGAGAAAACAGAACACCACCGTAAGGTGTAGCAGGGGGAAAGAGGTGGGGAACTTCACTTCAGAGCTAACTTAACATTTAAATGTGATTCAGTCACACCAACTCTGGACTCTTATTAGGGAAGATCTTGTTAACAAAAATGGTTTCTTCCTGTTTCCAGTCCTAATTTTTATGCAGAGCCAATGCAATAATCCTGATTTCTTTTTTCTAACACTAATATCTTTCTCCTTTGCTCAGCTGGGCTTCTTATAATAAGACATTTGACTCCAGGCTTCTAAATAAATAGAGAATGAAAACTGAAAAAAAAATTTTTTTTTTAAACTAAGAATTTATTCTCCCACTCATGTATCCATTAATCTATATCCAGCCAGACAAATCCAGCTTCTTTTTTCTAACACTAATATCTTTCTCCTTTGCTCAACTGGGCTTCTTATTATAAGACATTTGACTCCAGGCCTCTAAATAAACAGAGAATGAAAACTGAAAAAAAATTTTTTAAACTAAGAATTTATTCTTCCACTCATGTATCCAATAATCTATATCCAGCCAGAGAAATCCAGCACTCTGTCTGTCTGTCCCCCTTAACTCCAAGACTGTCATTTCAGAGAATAAATTCTAAGCAAATGCAAAAATGGAAACCACTTGTTTTTCTATTCACTGAGGGCTTTTCAGTTGCATGATTTGCATTCACAGCTCCAGCTTTCGTAGCGGAATATAAATTTACTGGTTTTGGCTTGAAGTTTCTGTAGTGGGCTATTCATGCTCCATTTTAGCACCAACATCCCACAGAGATAGACAACTTTGAAATTTCTAGACTATAAGGACCAAGCAGAGGCAACAGTTAATGGATTAGTATCTAGTGCATTTCAGAGGGCTTTGAAATAAAAGCTCAAAATTTGGCTAGGAAAAAAAAAAACCACCAACAAAAAATTAAAACATACAACCAATGAAGATGAACTATGCTCACAAGGGAGTGAAGTAATAGCACCTACATTGTTGTGATGCTAAACATTTGGCAGTGTTTTCTGTTTACGACACAGGCGCCACTGGACTCCTTGACCATGGTAAGAAAAGGAGATCACTGCGTTTGTGAAGGGAACAGAGAGTTTGTATTTGAGGCTCAATCTTACTTTCATTGAGTTGACAGTGAAAGAATTCAGTGGCAGAAGGATGAGGTTCTTTAAATGTTTCCTTGTCCTCATGTCGCCTTGCTCCCCTGAAGCAAAGGTGCACAGTTCACCCCTTCCGAAGAACTGACAAATCACTTCTTTAAAGTCGGCTGTACAAGCTAACCAAGATGAGAAATTATAAAATTCACACACAATCAACAGCTCAAGATGGTCTCTCCATTCTTCCCACTGTCCATAATGGATCATCTACCCACATCATCCACTGTTAATCAGCGTTAATACTGAATTCTGAGGCCTGACTCCAAAGTTCTTGTTACAGTTTGGGCAGAGCTCCGGCTGGTGCTAGCGTAATACCAAAAACATAGAAAAGCCCCAAGAGGAGATTGAGTTTGGCTGTCCGCTGAGGAATTTTGTTGAAGCTCTGACTCCGAAACTGCCTCTCCAGTGAAAATGCCATCGGGATGGTGAGTAGCGGCAATGCCATGCTGATGGTATAGCGTGTGGCCAGCACACAGAAAATCAGGTAGGGCAAGAAGAGTAGCACGGTGTAGAGAATATAGGAGAACGCAGGGCCAATGAGGATAGCCAAGGTGACAATACCCGCCTGCCGGTCAGACTCCATGTCTCGTGTGTTGTTGCTGTGCAGGATGGCCTCAGTACTGAGAGCTAGTGGGATAGCGTAGAGCAGTGGCGAGACAGACAGATAACCGACCTGCACAGCATGGGCAAACATGACAGCCAGGGGCCCAAAGGTGATCAGGATCACCACGTCTCCAAGTGCAACATATTTAAATCCAATTCCTGTGGCAAGACACAAGAATAAAATGAAGCATCATCAAACAACTCAAATGACAGAAGAGAATGGATAATATAACAGATCAGCCCTTCCCACAGAAATATTGTAAACAACCAACACACATGTAGCTATGGCTGAGAGGTGTATTTTCTCGTTTTTCCGAAGATAATAAAAGAAATGCAGCTTCTGAATTTCTTCAAACAATGTAACAGAAACTAAGGGCGGGGTTCTAATACCCATCTTCACATCTAGAAGTACCTATTTCTGCAGAAATCTATAGAAATAAGGTGCTCTCTAGTGTGATCATGCATACTAGAACCTGATCCTGAAGAAATATATAAAATGCTTAAACAAAATGCAAAACTGACAAGATTCTTTCAAGGAAACTAACATAACTCTTTGAAAGTTTGACAGTTTGAAACTGAGTTTGTTCTTCTTTTCCTAATAATTATGTTTGTATCTACTCAACACAGGAAGACAATAAAAATATCCTCCTCTTACTAAGAACAAACACAAACTGTTCTACATTCACAACGAAACTCCATCTAAAGAATAACAACAAAACATTCCAAAACAAAGTAACAGATTCCAGCAATGGAAAAGAACATACACAGTAAGCCACACTGCTGAGGGATACGAGATACACATCACAAAAAGTTTCAGCAATAGTTCTGATGAGCATCTAAAGCCATATACTTAAGTAACAATGTCTCAACACCACTTTCCAACTGAAGAACTTAGCGTGCCTCTTCCCACATCTTCCCACAAAAATCAATGACAAAGAATACAAGTTTAGGTACCAGTACTCCAGGAAATACCACCAAGTGTTTTTATGGCAGTTAACTAGACAGATCACTTGCGTGTTCTAGAAACGCTTGACAAGTCGGCTAATTCTGTCACATTCACATTCAGATTCACAGCAAAAGGGATACAGCACTTACCTCCAGTATAAAGGAAGGAGCTGGAAAGTCCTCCAAAGTAAATCAGGGCCAGGTGCTCCAGCTTGAGCGTTGAGAGAGCGTAGAGCCCAGCAGCACAGATACAGCCCACAGTATAAAGGAAGACTCCAAACCGGACTACGTCCTGAGGCTCCAAAATCTGGTCCACCAAAGTCCTGTCGTCACTCTTCTTGTGATCGATGCCTTTGGAGAAGTCGTAGTAGGTATTCACCAAGTTGCCGGCTCCGTGCACAGCCAGGACGGTCACGGCGCTTCCCACCAACAGCCCTGGGTCTAGCGCTCCCTCGGCCCGGTACGCCAGAGCGCTGCCGAGGGCCACGGGGGTGAGGGAGGCACTGAAACTCCAAGGTCTGAGCGCCAGCACGTAGGCCGCACACTTCTGCCTCCAGGTGCCGGGGGGGACCCTCTCAGCGCCCGCCAGCGCGGCGCCGGAGTCGTTCCTCTCGCTCCCCCGGGGGCTCTCAGCGCTAATGCTGATCTTCTGCGCCGGGTCTCCCGGCCCCATGCTCTCCCCGCCGCCCCGTCTCACAGCAGCAGCCAAC